TCATAAAATGAAGTTTTCCATGGTTGAAAAAAAAAAAAAAAAACTGCCGCATTCTTTTAATTTACTTTCAAAAGACTGCAGCAGCAGTCTAGATGCAGGGGAAGTTCCCCTCCCCCTCAAAAGGCCACTTTAAGGGAAAAAAAACCCTGTAGTCTAGACATTCATTTTAAACATTTGAAAATATACTTACTGAGCAGAAGAGATGCACTGTGATAATTAATAATAATCAACCAAATAAGAGGCCACTAATTTTTTGGGGAGTGGGATTATGTTTCAGTTGTCTGGGTATGTAATTTCTGGTTAAGCTAGAATCACCTGACTCTTCTGACTGGCTCTTCTGAGCTATGCAGGTTGAACCTCTAGTACAACACACTCTGGTCTGGAATGACGTTTGTTAGCTGGACTTACTGGATGTTGTTTTTTCAAGATATATAGACAACAACAACAACAACAACAACAGGTCTGGTAGCACTTTATAGACTAACAAAACACGTAGATGGTATCATCAGATTTTGTGGGTGCAGCCCACTTCAGATGACTGGAGTTATGAGTTGGGGATATGACAACTCGAACTAAATAGGAGAGGGGAGAGAAAGAAAAAAGGAGGGGGTTTCTCTCCCCTCTCCTATTTATTTCGAGTTTTCATTTACCCCTAAATGTCTTCTAAGAGAGGTTTTCAAACTCTGGTTTGCAATTTGTAAGGGTAAGCTGCTTGCTGGCCATGAGGTGCTTTGTTTAGCCAAGTGTCCACAGGAATAGCCACTTGTAGCTCCCAGTGGCTGTTTGCCATTCCTGGCAAATGGGAGGTGTAAGAAGTGGCAGTTCAGCCCACATCACTTCCTGCAGCTCCCAGTGGCCAAGAATGGTGTACCATGCCCATTGAGAGCTGTAAGCAGTCAAGCCTGAGGGTTCTTAGATTTAAAAAAAAAATAAAATAAAAAGCTTCTCGTGGCCAGCTAGTGGCCTACCCTTACAAGCTGCAACCCAAAATTTGAAAACCTCTCTTTTAAGAGCCCAATAAGCGTTAGCAGCGTCTAATGCGACTAGACAATATTGACATCCATGGTCCAGCACTGGTCAGGTCCCAATACTAAAGAGGTTTCTGACTTGGCAATTGCAAGTTAAAGTACATGTAAATGTATTACCAAGTTTTAAATGTGGTCAAGAAACATTGGGGGGGAGGGAGAGGGAGAACCAACAGTAAATTGCCTTTTATGTGACCTCAAGAGATGTCGGTTATGTTTGAATCTAGAAAGGTGCAGTTTCCATCATAACTCATCCTCTCTGTTCCTCTATCTCCTCCTTTCAATAGATTAAAGACAGCTTTAAAAAACAACAACAAAGGAATATATACATTGAAGCTAAAAATGGGGTAAAGAGAAGTAAGTCTGTTCAGTGGATTCAGTTACATGGTAATTCATCCATTTTAAGTAAACTGGTATCTTCTCATTACAGCATTTGTCTGATTCAGTAAAAACTCTATGTCCCACTGTGAGCGGAGCGGGGGGAACCACCACTTGGGCACAAGGTACTAGGTGAAAAACCTGCAGCTGGTTTAGGGGAGACATTAAGATGACAGTAAATGTCTGTGTGGAGGAAGTGATGATGATATGTCCCCTTCATCACCCTTCAATGATTTCAACAGTGAAGTCTCCTAAATACTGCCTTCTGAAACAGAATGGTAAAATAGTACTGCAGATAGTCAACACGATTACTGGAGCTATCCACTTTCAGAAAAATCTTCTGCTCCCTCTGTTATAGGTCAGGTAACATGTGTCCTGTACCCAAACTTTCTGCTCGTTACCAGGGATTCTTCCAGAATTTATTGTAGGTGATCTAGCTTTACAGGTAGGAGAACCTCAAGAGTGACTAGTTCCATAAACTTCCTTAAAAATGTGATTTGAAAACTAAGTCAAATTAATGAACCTCTCCACCACAGAGCCGGTTTTTTCCTCCCTCTGTTTTCTATTCCTTTTAATTGGCTCCCCTTTTTCTGTCCTCCCCCCAACATCTCTGTCATCTAAATTTTATTGTATAAAATATAGCACTAGTAACCTCATTTTGGTGGCAGAACAGTCCGGATAAAATAGTTTTCTTTCAGTCAATGTGATTAGCACATTCCAAATCTGAGAGTTTGGATAGATCACTACCCATGACTTTGACAAGCTGTAAATATTTAATACAGAAAAATAATTCCTATATAGTCAGTGCTTTTTTGCAATATGTCCCAAACATTAGCTGACATGAAAATAAAATATTTCCAGCTTTGGTATATTCTCAATCATTTATGTTGAGAACATTTGAACACTATGTCTTATAAGCCTTTATCAAAGCATAGTGTGGTGCAAATTGTCGTCATATCATCATGACGTGTCTTTACTTGATTCTAAGTAAATCTGATTTATCCCACTCTTTTGGCTGACATGTTGTAGAAGTATGTTTCCTTTTTAAAGCTGGATTGATTCTAACTTAAGTTGACAATCCACTTGTGTACACTAAATGAATACAAATTATATAACAAGACACAGTAAAGCAATAATTAAAACCAGAATATTCTGTTCATGAGTCACGTGGCATCTGCTAATGTCCAACAGCGGATCGGGTACACGAGGTTAGATTCCAGTAGTTTCACAAAATGGTTCATAGCTAAGTTTTTATTCACAAGATCACGGATATATTCAGGCCATTGTTGAAATGCAATCAGACCATTTTGTGCAAATCTTGGAAAGCTCTTGATGTTCTTCCAACAAGCAGGCATTAATGTGATCAGAATTCTTCATATACAATACTGCATCATAAAAAAGCCTTTAGTACCATTCAGAAACCTAGTCGAGTCTCCTAGACTCTTTCGGCTATTCGGGTAACATTATATTGAATAGAAACTTGTTTCTTGCACTACAGAGTTGCACCTTATGCAAAGTTTTAACATGTAGACTTGTGATGCCACTGTAATATTTGTCTCTCTGTTGGCCAGCCAAGGAGGATGGCTTTTTTAAGCTTGTGCTGTGAGCCATCTATTTAATTTTTTGATAGCCAGTCAATTTCCATTAACTCAACAGCTTTGGTAGTTCAATTAAAGCAGATATGTGTACCTGAAAGAGGCTATCTGTAGCCATTTGTACTTGTTCAAATGACTTTTAAACAGTCAGTAAACAATTCAGTAGCCAATGTGTAAGATATACAACACTCCAAGTTGCATAATGCAAGTTCAATGTATCATATAGTTATATTTATAAAAAAATAAAATTCATTCAAAGCAAATTGAATATGACAATATTAATTGCTGTCTCATTTCTTTATTTAGTTTTCTTGCTAGATTCTTAGCCTCTAAACAGAGCTAATGAGTTTTACTTTAATAATTCTTGATTTACTGAATCTATTTTGAATGAAAGCAACATAACACTCTTGTGCTTTATCCAAAAATCAACTAAATCCTATTTTTTAAATTTTTAATTCAAGTATCATATAGCAAAGTCAGTCTGTTAAGATCAGCAATTACTGTAAGTATAAGCAAGAGCTAAACTTAATTCTGGCCCAAAAGATTCTGTTGCCTTTGATCAAAGACTTCTTAAGACAGGAAAACAGTTGCTCTTTCAACTTCTTAATTTTAGTGCTTTGGCTAAAAGATTGTGTTCTTTATTACTTAGCTGTGCTATTTTATTTAGCCTCTCATGAACCATTTAAATCAAGTTCAGAAATCAAATGGATGGTAGACTAGGGGAATTGAATAAAAGGACCTCTGGAAATAGTTGTAGAAGCTTCTTTGAAAGGTAGAACCAATCAGCAGTTTCGAAAATACACCACTCACCAGCTTCATAAAACTACACACAGAAAACCTTCAGCTAGCATTGCTATATAGTGTCTGTTTGTGTGTCCATATAATTTATATAAACACACAAAGTAATACTTCCAAGTAATAACACCATGCAGGATGGAACCATCACAATTCATGCCTAGTTTGGGGGGATTTTTTTAAATATAACGAAGCCAATACATAAGTGCTTTCTGAAAACCACTGTCATTAGATCATTCATCGATCCAGCCTCTCTCCCCATCCCCTCCTATGTGCCTTATTTGTCCGTTTCTAATTACATCAAAAGCCTGAGCATTATTAGTCAACATGAGAGGATCTTAATAGTCAAGTTTCCATAATGCACTCTGATACATTTAATCACGGCCATGTGAACATCGATCGGGTCGAATTACTCATCTGTGTGCATTTTGCTCGGTATTTGCCCGGAGGGTGCTACAAAACTTCAGAGAGGCTCTACAAAAAGAAACCAGATATTCTTGCTAGGAAGTTCACCTGCTCTTGGTTTATTCCTGCCTCTGACTGTTTTAGTTAGCTTATTAATGCAACATCCTACGGAGCAGGAGATGAAAGCTAAGTTACGCTTGAAGGTGTATCACCGACTCCTTCTCAAGGTACTACAAGTGCCCGGGTTGCAAAGCTTCGGTGTAACATAGGGAGAGACGATCGTGCCCTATTGTTTCTGCGCAGAGCCACAGCGTCAACTGTAGCATTTGCTTAGACGCGAGCAGCACAGTGGAGACCTCCCCGGGAGGCTGTCTGGGTGGAGGAAGCCAGCCCGCGGGGATGACCCCCCGCCAGCTGCTGCTTTGCAGCAGGTAAGGAAGTTACTGAAATGCAAGTTGAGGGCTGGAAGGCAGGTTTGCAGACGGCGTAGCCGTTCCCAGGAAGAGACCCGCCGCAAAGGGTTGCAGTGCTTCGCAATAAGCAGCGCCGTCAGAGAGCCTCCACTCCCGTGTAATCGGATGCGAGCATCTGCAGAGTCTGTCACAGGCAGCCAAGCGGACTCGCAGTCCGCGGTGCACGCAAGAAGATACTTTTCCTGCTGCGTGCCTCTACCTGCTCCTTTTTGCACTAGCCGCCCTAAAGCCATGGCCGAGACAAATGTCCCGTGCAGCTGAGCTGCCGGAGGAAGTTTGAGACACTTCTCCCGATCGTTTGAGAGAGGAAAATAAAGTGATCACCTTACCTCGATCGGCTCCCGCGGCCAGCACCTTAGCAACAGGAAATAATCCTGAGATCGCTACTAAGGCTAAAAGAAACTCAGACATTGTTGTGGCCGGATTGAAGCGTCCTCCGCCGCCGGGGTTGCTTGGCTGCACACTCAGTAAATCAGCAGCAGCAGCGAGTCTGCAATCGAGCTGCGTAATTTACAAATGTCAATGGGAATTCGTCTGCTAAATCTAGGTGTATGTGTGTGAGAGCAGCTTGTGTGTCTTGACTTTTCAATGCAGAGTACGTCTGATCTTACATCACGCAAGAGGGGCAGTGAGAGATGCCAGAGGATGGGGATTCACTGATTAATCACAGAATCTACCATACACTGCTTTGGTGTCCACATAAATCACTTCTATTACTAAGTAAGAGGCATTTAATACAATAGGAAAATACTACTGCAAATGGAAAACCTACAAATCCCAATTATTTCTGTCTCCCTGAAAGGGAAGTAACTCAATATTCTGTTGGGATGTAGACATTTAGAAGAGGGAGGCTTCTGCATTGTATCCAACAACTAAACCTTTCTGCTCTTACCCTAATGGCAAGACCAGCTTAAATCATTCCTAGCCTCTCTTCTAGAAGTAGTACATTTTAGTTTTGTATCAACTGGAAGCAGTCTCCTTCAACAGCATTAACAGGGAGGCAAGTAACTCAGTTCTACTGGAAAGGAAGATAGTTGCTTCAGCCAGAGAAAAGGCAAAAATGAAATTTAAAAAAGTGTTTTATTAAAGTGTACAAACAATCTCAGAAGGACTTGTGTATCACAATAAGTGACTCAGCAAACACATACACACACAGGCATTGCTTATTAGCCAAAGAAATGAAAGTGCCATTAGAAAACTCTTTACTTATTATATATGGTAAATAAGTGTTGATTTCCAAAGAGGGATTTTCATGCTGTGGTTAGCCCTTGGTGCTTCTTTACAAGAGCTGACCTAGTGTATCCAAGTCACATTTTAAAAGAAAATAGGGTGTGTGTTTCCTGCTTTGAGTAGTCATGTTAATACTTCTATTTGCAAAAACAGCAGTAATTTGAACCTATCAGATGCTGAAAAGTTTTGCTTACCTTTTTATAAAACTTAAAAACATGTTTAACAAACAGTAGGTGCTAAGTCAATTATATAGACTTTTGCAGATTTGTTTTATCACAATGTAGCAAAAAGCTAAAGTTGTCAGCCTAGACCTTTTGTTTGAAAGGCAAAGCCTTACTCCTTTTAACTGTACATTTCTAGTCCCTGACAATTTTATAAAATACATTTTATACGAAACCCAATACCTAGAAGACTTGAGGGGGCAGGTGGTGGAGGAGACAACCAATGCAAAAAACAACAATAAAGCACAATTTGAAGAGGATTATGGAGTATTTTAATCATCTATATTAAAATGTGGATCATCATTCACATAGCTATTTATAAAATTAAGAGCCCATTCCTGTTCCTACTGACTTATGAGAGCAGGATCAGGTCCAAAATTCACCCTGGAGATTGAGACCCTAGCATTTAAATAATTTAATATTGGACTACACACCGGGACTGAAGAACATTCAATTGGGCCAACTTCTGTGTTTGTGTAAATACTGAGTCATTCTACTAATGTCACTCACAATTTACATCTGTTCAACTGAGACCAGGACATGGCCCAACATGGGAAATAATCCCATACAGACAACTTGTAGTTGTGTAAGACGAGTTGATGAAATATATCATTTCCACCTTGAACTGTGGTGGTCCTCTGAAATCAGCTCTTCCCCCATTGCCCAGACAAAATAGGAGTTTACATACTGAAACTACATTCTGCCACTTCAAGTGGGAGACTTTGCTCTTGTAAACCACAATATTTGACTAGTATGGCTCTTATAAGACTTTGTTTCTAACTACATTTTGAACAGGTCTTGAATCTAAATGTTTTTTCCCCCCATTTCATAAAAGGAAGACTCCTTTTGCGAGGCATGGGTACATGGAGGCAATGGTTTACTCCACAGGGAAGAACTGCACAACTGGGTTGCATATTTTAAAGAAATGCATGTACGCCATGTAACAAAGGACTTTCTCAGCTCACTGTTGGCAAATTTGTGTCTTTCTTCTGATCTTATATAATCTTTTCACGCCGTTTCACTGAATTCTCCTCCCCTCACAGATTTAGAATTGTATATTTTTGATTCAATATCTATTAGCAAGTCAGTTTTATTTTTCAGATTTATAAAATGCATCTTGTGCAGAAGTCTCAAGGTGCATAATGTTAAAAGCAGTCATAATTTTGCCTCAGACATTATCTGTTAATTGGCATGCTGTGCTTTTAGAAGTTAATCATTCTTACAAAGTCATTTTCACTAAAAACATATGTCCAGCTATCTGAAGCTTTATTACTAATTTGTTCCTTTTCAGCTTTACTCCATACTTATCTAGCAAAGCTTTTCAGTACTCTACTTGAATAATTTGCTTTAATGATAAAGCACAATTTACTACCCATTTAAAACATTAACATTTATGAGAGTCTGAGGAATTAATTGATCTTACTTTCAATACTGCAAATCACATATGCATCTAAACTTATTTTTTTAAACATTTCACTTTTTTGAAATAAAAGTCAATGTATTCTGTATTTCCAGGAAATAAGGTGTCAATATACCCCGAATTATAAATAAAAGTGTGTGCACTCAGAATATAAATAAAAATGCAATTACCTATAAGTAATCCTTTGTCAAATAGCCACCCAAAAATGAATCTTGGTTTAAAATAGTGCGACAAAAGAGATGGTAATTATCATGGAAGTCTGGTTTTAAAATATAGGCTGTTGAACAAATAAAAAGCTGACCTTTAATAAATCACTTCCCCTCTCAGTTTCATTAAACATTTCCATTAAACATTATTCACTATACAGTCACATCTATGTGATGAAATTAAACTACTTTAACAATATAGATCAGAAGTGCAAACATATATGAATAATGTTAACTTTAATACTATCTTTCCACCTTCAACAAATCTGCACCTGAAATCTCCTCTACTTGGATTTCTTTGGTATAAAAAAATTACATTATAGAATAAATCTAAAAATACTGGAAGGAAGGAGTAGCAAACTGTGCCTGAGAGTTCAACAGGCACAACACAAAAGTTCAAATATCAAGAGGGTGTTTACATCTACTTTGAAAGACAATACAACTTAAGTGATCACCTATTAATATGGTTTTACTTCACTGGCTTGGTCTCAGAAGTTTTCATAAGAAAAAGTTAACTCTACCTATTATATTTAATCCCTCCCCCATCACAGGCATCATTTTTAAAGTTCACCTTTTACACATCTATCTGTTAGGACGTCTGCATGGTTCCCTGTCAACATCAATGGACATAGTAGCTATTGTGGAAATAGTTCAAGAGTCAGAAGTGTGTCCTACATATGGAAAGTTTCAGTCTTTTCCATGTAAGTGACACAAATGAGACATGTTAGAAGTCATTCAGTCAAAAGGGCTTGCGAAAAGACTTTATGGGTGTCTAGAAATATTCTTTCACTATACCAAAAATAATTAAATGGGGGAATGAGAATGAACTAATGGTGAATAGAGAAATCAAAGCTAGAAATGCTATTCAAGATCCATTTGTTCCTTCAGTATATTATACCTTCTTCGTATTAATTGGGGTTATTAAAACTGACAAGTTTAATAAATAAATCAAGCTATAGAATATTATGAAATATCTTATTGGAGATAAATTAAGTAAAGTAGAACCAATCATTTTTATTTATAAGAATGTTAATCATCCTCCAGGTATAATTCTAACATTAGCAGTTACAAAAACCTCTCAATTGCAACAAAAACCTCTCAATTGCAATAGTGGGGAAAAAAATCAGGTGTTCAAGGGTTGTTTTTTTGTGGGGACAAAAGGGGTACTTATTACTTGAATTAATAATTTGCCTGCTACCCACCTCGGGTCATAAGTTAACAAGAAAACTTGTGGTTGTACATACCAGGGTTTCTAGATTATGTCACAAAGGTGATGTATGCAGCTTCTCAGAGGGAAGAGTTGGCCTGAAAAACCAGGTTGCTAGGAAATGATATTGGCAGCAATACTGGAGGCAGCCGGGTGCCCTGCCCTGTCCTCCCAGATATAGAAAAGTTGCCAGGCAGCAGCTGAGACAGGATAAGGAGAAAAAGAGACCAAAATGGTAAGAGATTAGAGTATTTATCTAAATTCAACAGTTTATATTATGAGACAAGCAACCCCCCTTTGAAGAAAACATTTATTCCAGTTCTTAAAGCACTGCATTTTTAAAAAATCATTGTCTCTTCCTAAATGTGCATCTTCAACAGCTGCTGAAAAAGTTCTTCATGACTGAACTGTAATGTGTATATCTGCATACCAAGTGGCATGGATGGAAATCACGATCTGGCATTCAAGACGGTTTGGCATTGCTTTAATACATGAATTGTAAAGTATTAAAAAAGATACAAGGAAATTGGAACAATTGTGGTGATTTGTTTGAAAAGCTAGAAAGTGTGATGAATATATTTAAGAATACGTGGCGCTTGTAAACTTGGTAAATATTAGGAATTTGAAAATATTTCTTATTACATTTCAGGACCTTTTCACCTAAGACATCACTTTGATGATCCTTGTTTTTAAAAGGATAGACACAATTCAGGGCCATACCCTCAATTAAGCTTTTCTCCACTGAAGAAGATACAGTTATACAAAACAGCTGAGAATCTGGTACAACATCTCACATAACAAATAGCTACTTCAGTTTTAGATTTGCAAAAGAAAATAAAAATAGAAGTTCTAGGTATTGAAATGTTTGTTTCTTTTGGAAAATATTTTCATAAAAGCCTCTTGAAAATGAAGTCAAAAGAATTTGTCACTATTTTAACAGCATTCAAAGGACAATTAAAAAGACCAGCATCTCTTTCAAGGACTGTATTTTCAAATTAGTTTTTCATCAATATAAAATAATTTCTCTTATATACAGTGAGCCTGCTTCTAATAGTTCCACTGAATTTGGTCCAATGTAAAACCAGACAGAAATCAAGATCATGTCCAATAAAATAATCAATGCACTATCTTTATTTTACATATTCATGTGGAGAAATTATGCTATATAAATAAATGTATATGCATGCTGGGCAGAAATATTTCACAATACGAGGGGAAAAAAAAGAAGGATTTTTTTTAAACTGTAGTATACAGTAGTT